ACAGGCCCATTATTAGCAATTTGCAAAGAAGAAATTGAAAGCTGTTAGCTTTGAGTTCGGGAACTCCACAGGAGACCGCATGAGGAGTCAGAACGGTCTCGTCTTTGCAGGCAAAACAAACTCGGAGAACAATTATCAGCGTCCTATCATAACATATCAGCATGCTGACAAAGCTGAGAACTAGAGGACATGACATTTCCATTTGTGTAATAAAGGACAAATGACTGATACACCATACTGAACTTTTACAACCAGCAGGCAACAGAAAAGCCTTAATGTAGAGTACTTCGTTAACCAAACAGCTTAGGAAATTCTGTTTTGCATTAGGAAAGCAGAGTGCTTGCACATTACTCGCTCCTGTGGTTTACAAGGAGTTGTTGATATATATAAAGGAAAATGTTGTTTTTAGGATTTGGCCTTCAGACTGAGCACATTTATTTAGAAAAGCTATTAAAGATGCAGGATTCCGTATCACATAAAAGGAACCACGCTTAAGGGGAAAGAAAAAAAACATTAAATTAGCAGCTTTATCTTGGCATTACTTGTGGCTTTAAAAGTGCTTTGTTTTCTCTGAAGCAGTCAGATGTGAAGATGTTTAGGTCATACTTTAGCCAAGGGGACTCCATCACTTTTAAAAAATAAAGGTGCCAGAAAAAGTTCTTAGAAGAATCATTTTTGGTTCCCTAAAGGGCCATTTTTGGTTCTGTAGAGAACTTTCCAGTCCACGGTTCTTTACTCATTTAATGTTGTTGCAGCAATAAACATAATAATCATTCTTCCACTACTAGGGTGCTTCCAAATAATGGTAACATTTATGGTGGGAAATTTATAGGAAAATTTGGTGAGATTAGAATGAGTACATTATAAAGAGGTGTGATTGGGGGATATCTAATAAATTTGATTCATCTCATTCCCCTTAAAGAAGCAAACATTTGCCAGAGGCATCATGATATATGATTAGCTTCCTGTTATAGATTTCACATCGATCCATTAGCAGTAGAAATCCTCCTCCTCTTTCGGCTGCTCCCGTTAGGGGTCGCCACAGCGGATCATTGGTCCGCACGTATTTGATTTGGCATAGTTTTTACGCTGGATGCCCGTCCTTACGCAACCCTCCCCAATTTTAATCCGGGCTTGTGACTGGCACTGAGAGCGCACTGTTACACGCAACCCCAGTGGCCGGGAATTGAACCCAGGCCCAAGCGGTGAGAGCACTGTGTCCTAACCACTCTCCAGGGATCCGCATTAGCAGTAGAAATAACCATGCATAAATATGCATTTTCTATCTTTTTGTGTGCTTTTATGGATGTAAACCCTCTGAGACATAGAGTTTATACTGGCTAATACTTTGTCTATATTATAGCAATAAATCTGGTGAATCCGTCAGAGATTCAGATGATTCTAGTAAATATATGATTTAACTTGTTATACACTTGAGGCTATATTAAAATACAGACCTTCCATCACTTGACCATATCCTTCCCTCTGGACAAGCAACAAAGAAGCAATCTTACCCCTCCGAATGCTACGACGCAGTTTTCCAGAGAGTGCGTCGATGCGTGGTGTGTCTCCACTCTCATCACTGGCACCAGGACTCTGCTCAGGTGAAGGATCCTGAGGAGACTTGATGTTGGAGGAGTGAGGAGGCGAGGTGCAGGGGTTAGCTGAGGTGGGGCTGCTGGCGGCGGAGGAGGACAAAGGGTTGGACAGGTCCAGTGCAGCCACCCTGGAGCTGAGTGGAGAGTTGAGGGAGAGCTTACGGGCTCGCACAGGAGAGGATGTGTGTGAGGGGATGGAGAGGGGAGGAGGAGAGGAGAACTTCCTGCACAGGCGGGGAGATTTCTCATTGGGATGCTCACTGCCCGTGCTGCTGGAGCGGTTGTTCTGGTTGGTGGCGAAGAAAAGCTCCAGGGACCTGAGTTTGGGAGAACATATGTGACAGTGTGAGGCAGAGAGTATGCTTCCTGCCAGATTTTCCAATGGGGGAAACATTTATTTATCTTTGACGGGAGAACAGAGAGAACAAAGATGAAAGATGGACGAGGTACATTTGTGTGCAGGCACAATGTGGAAAAAAACCCATAGGACTGGGTAAAATTAAATGAATAAGGATTATGGGGATGAAAAACAAGAAGACTGTCTGGCAGACATGGATTAAGCAAAGACACTTTCAGCAAAAAAATCATCATCGATTGTGTGATTCAGTGATTCAGCTTTGTTCAGAAAAATGGCCTTCTAGATCTCAGAGATTGCTAAGGAGTTTATTTGGGTTTATTATGAAAGTAATAAAAACTCATTCAAATACACATGATTGGAATTATAGGCCATAAGATAGTAGTAAGAGCAGGCTACAGATTGGAGAGAAAATAAGTACAACTAACCAGTGGCCATATTTACAAAGATTATCTAAGATTTATCTAAGAGTTCTCCTAAGTGACACTGAAAGTTCTCAGCTGAGAATTGCTCCTTAAAACCTATTCATGAAACTGTTAAGTTCATAAACTCATATACATAATCCCAACGTATGATATCATAAAACAAAAAAGAAACTGTTGCTGATCTCATACATGACATCTCTTAATGGTCACATGACATATTTCTGGCAGTACAATTACAGTACAATTACAGTTCCTATGTAGCAGACTGTACTGTAAAGTATTCATGGCTTTGAAGTTCAAGAAAACATATTTGACGTCAGCGTTTAGATATTTGTTTTTCGTGTAGTATTAACCCAATGACATTTTCATGTTCATTTTACTATTTGTTATTATTGTAATATGACAGTGTGCAGTTTTCATTCATTTATGAGTTTACCATGTAAACCAATCAGCCAATCATTGCTGATATTCAGTTATGAAAAATACTATAATCAGTAGCAAAGACTGGTTTGATAATAGCAGTCTTGAGACGGTAAAACATTACTTGTGGATGATATTTGCAGTTCATCTTCTGCCATTTTCATGTGACCAAGAGAGTTGTGTAAGCTTTGATCTCCAGCTGTGCTGTGTTAATATGTCACTTCCCTTACAACTTCATAGTCAGTGAAATACAGTCGCAATCACTGTTATACCTTTTTTAAAGCTCAGTCATTACATATACACAAGAATCTCTAATCATCAGCAGCATCTATCTATCTATCTATCTATCTATCTATCTATCTATCTATCTGTGACTGGAATGAAAGGCTACAGAGAGAGAGAGAGAGAGAGAGAGAGAGAGAGAGAGAGAGAGAGAGAGAGAGAGAGAGATGCTATATGATATGTTACTTTGATTGGTCCATGGCTATCTTCCTCAGCTTCAAGCTGTAATCTGGACAGAAGGATGTGATGGACAAGCGATCAAATGAGGGATACTGGATCCTGTGTGACAGCAGATCATGGAGGGCAATGATGGACATGAAACACAACAACAAAACACTGCACAAATGACAAAATTATATCAAACAGTAATCTTTAAAAATATGCAATTAGCAATTTAGAATTGTAGCAATTACCAGATTTATTAATTCTTTATCAGTTTTCGCAGTAGTGCAAAAGTCATAAACTAAGAAAGAGTTTATACTGCCTAATTCCTCATCTCTGTGATGACAATAAATTTGGTGAGACTGGTAGAGATTGTGATGATTTTAAGAAGTATATAATGTTCTATGTGCAACGGCCTGTCAACTGATTCACATTTAGAAGCCACAAGTGGCTTATTTGTTCATATTTGTTATTGATAAAACAATTCAGTCAGTTGTATTACTGTAAGTAGAAGTAGTGTGAAATAGCCTATTTATATTAAGTGAGGTTATATTAATAGTGAACATTCACAAAACTGGGTTGTATGAAATGGAACAACAAACAATAAAACACTGCACAAATGACAACTGACATCAGAAAGGGGTTTTCATGAACACTTTCTAGTTTTCCCAGTCATAAACTTAGAAAATAGAGAACAGAGACAGACAAAGCACTGGCACCTTCAGTCAGAATGAAAACTATATGATATACTAGAAAAAAGTTATAATCTATGATCATTTTGGGTTTTGTATAATTTTGGTATAGTAAACTGACATATATATGACATATTTCCAAACAGAACAATATGTGCTACAATATTACACAGTATATAGAAACAGTAATTATTCACTGTTTTAATTAAATAAATAAAGTCTTAGATGACTTTAAAATGATAAAATTAACAAAATTGTTTTCAGCCTTCAGTAGTTTATCAAACAATACTGACTTTATTGATAGCACTTTAATTTAATATTCGCTTAATTGACATTGGTTAGCTTGTATTAAGTTATGTTGGTAAGTTTAGGAATATTTAGTAACATTTTGTAATTTCATTTTTAGTTTTGGATTGACTAAACATCAGTCAATGCAAGTGGATTTAATATTTCATTAATATTTTAATACATTTGTTAAGTTACTTTGTAACTTACAATTTATCCATTCTGAAGTTCATGGTTTGTTTTTGTTAATTAATGCAGTTAATTAAGGGAACAATAAGGCAAAGCGTTACCACTTTTTTCTTCGTGTGTTTGTTACTAAAAACTGGCCTACAGTGTTTAAAATCCTATAGCATATATTCATACTACAGTTAGCTCCAGACCACTAATTTGATTGGAAAAGCAGTGTTCCACAAGTGCTGACATAACAGCATTGGTACATTTCACTGTGTGTATCACTCCGCTTGTCTGTGTTCACCACATATAATTCCGATTCTAGCAATAGTTTGTAACATTGAAACCGTTACTACACTTACTGTATGTTGCATGGGAACATGTGATTCTCTGTTCAGCTGTGACTTCTTCGGAAAGTATTTTTGTGCCTATGGCCGAATCACAGCCACGCTGATATTCAGTACAACAGCACTCTTACTTGTGAAATATTACTTAATTATATGATACACCAGTTATACCAGTGTAGCATTTCAGATTTTTTCCATCACAATATACATTCAATCCATAACTGATTTGAATCCTCAGTAATTTCAACTTCCTGCTGCTAATTAAAAGCTCTACAACCTCTTCCCTCTACGCCAGTAAAAAAAAAAAAAAAAAAAAGTAAGCAGTCTGGATCTTCTGCCTACACAAACCAGGCTGCTGTCAGTCTAAATCACCTGACTGGAATGGAAGTGAAGGGCTTCTTATAGATGTCAGCCAGCTTGTCCATGACCACAGCAGCAGAGGTAAAGATGCGGTACGTGTGCAGGAAGGTGTTAAGGAAGTCGATAGAAAGGAAGCGCAGGTCTGTCAGCCTCTCCAGCAGCCGCTCCACGCTGGCGTAGCGGATCTGGGGAACCTTGCAGGAGTTGAGCGTCTTGCTGAAGCAAATGTCAACATCGTCTTTATGGAGACGTGCATCAGATCTGATGAGGAGCATACAGCAAAGCAGCCTCATGAGCCAAAGCCAGCGTGTACTCAGAGATGCAGTGAAATGGGGAAAATGTGGTGTTGGATTTACATGTAAAAACAGCTAATGAATTTTATGGGGGAAAAAACATTTTCACCAAGGACCAACATTCAAAAAACACACACAGTGATAATGATCAGCTGAAAGTAAATACACAGAAACACCACAAAGGCAGGGGCAGGACAAGTGCCTAAAAGCAGGCAGCACACACGAATACACAAATACACACACACACACATACACACATACACACACAGACAAATCGCATGTACAAGAGTGAAAACACACATCGTGCCTTACTTTATCATGTGTGGCACAGTGACTTTGGAGTTCTCTTCAAACACACTGGTCATCAGTCCATTACAGCGGATGTTATCAATACACTGCATATCACACAAGAGGAACAAGAAAGAAACTTTATACTTTGTACTACACTGGGCTAAAGTCATTAAACAAAGTGACACTGTAAAATAACTTGGTGTTTAATTAAATTTACACAGGGGCAGAGAACATACTGAGCCATTGAAACCCTGTGAGCTTCTCCAATAAAGTCATCTCTCTGTGGTATATGTGAAATTTACACAAAACCTTTAAGTTTTATTCTGAGGATTACTTCTGTCTGCAGTGTGTTGAAGTTTGGCCGACATTACTGCCTTTCTAAGAATAAAGGCAGGATCTTGTTGTTTTTGCCATGTCATTATAATTGATTAAAACCTTACTATTAGCCCTCAAACAACTCTATATTTAACGATCTACGGACAAGTGACAAATAAAAAGAACGGGACAGTGGCTCTGTTATGCAGCTCTGTTGCTGCATTTTGCTGGCATGGTTTGTC